AGCCGTTCTAATCCCCCCACTTCACATAAGCATCAGCTTTATGGTGTAACGAGTGGTTTTACAAGGTTCAAAGTCGTGATCTAGTTTTTTTTTCTGGTAAACTCGATTACAATATTAAATTTTCATGTTTTACACAGTGGATATATAATTGCCATAGCTCGCTCAATCAGTCTGCATACCTTTTTTTTATAACAATCCGACAGTATGAGCAGAAAAAATACTCAAAAAAATTTGCAGGTGGGGGGGGGGAAGAGCCCTGTATTCAATTTCTTATCTTATGTTGCATATTCTAAGCAATTCCTGTAAGTTTGCACAATTTCAACATTCTCAACATTTCCTGTGGGTTTGTTTCAGCTGATTACTCATGCAAGACGCCTGATAAATTTGGCGAGATCTTCGGCTGGCCCGGAAGATTCATGTGTTGCGCTCACGAAGTATTATTGCCTCCAGTAATGTAAGAATGCTATATAATTGAATTGATTCTAGGCAGTTTACAACCGCAGAGTAATCTCAAAATTTTCCCAAGGGCCTAACTTATCCTGAACGCTTCCCTGCGCTTCGTCGTAGTGATTGAAGTATTTCAAACCATGATCAAGAACTAAGAGCCAGCACTAACAAAAATGAATTAAGAAAAAGTATCTAGAGAAAGACGTATCTTGATTTTAATTAGTATCGATATATTTTTTGTTCCATAAAATTAGGCTTGAAACTTTCAGTCGGAAGGGTTGCCTCAGGCTGCGTAGCTCTAATATTTTACCATCCATAGAGACACTATGCTACATGCATCAGTTGAATTGTCGCAAATTGTTTTTCGCAACCACGAAACTCTTAATGACAGCTTCTTTCTAGTTTGGTAGTTTGAACCCGCACTGAAGTTCCATGGATTATATTGGGTTTTCATTGCCAGTCTCTCTAAAATAACAAAAGTGTTTGATTATAATCGATTGAAATTGGATTATATTGATAAAATTTTTTTAAGCAATGAAATCTCCTTACAATCGATTATAATCGATCATAATCGATTATTTTCAAGAAATTTTATTAGAGAATAATAATCCATTTTAATCGATTATAATGGATTATAATCTATTCATTTAAATATATTTGTGTGTTTTCTTTTTCATTTTTTCATCATTTTGTTAAATTTAAACTAGTTATTTTGTTCTCTCACTTAATTTCATTTTTCTCTTTTCAATCGAGTTTATGAAAAATTACAAATAGTTACCTATAAAGATTCCACACCAGCTCCCCCCCCCCACGCTTACCCGTACTACAGTACTACATCTAGATGTCTCCTAACTAGAGACGGGGGTTGGGGGGTACGTCGTGGTTGGGGGTACGTGGGGGGACGGGGTATGTGAGGGGGTATGTGAGGGGGTATGTCGTGAATTGGTGGGGGACGTTGGGGGAGGGGAGGACGTTGGGAGGTACGCTGGGGGGGGGGGGGGGGACGTTAGGGGGGGCCCTTTTCGGAAAACTACTACATATTGGCATATAGTGTTCGTTGTTCGAGTTTTGCAGAAGTTTGTAACAGTTAGAGTCATTTTTTACAAAGTTTAATCAATTTTCATGGATTTTATATACAAAAATTAAGCCACTATATGAAAACAAAAATGGATTATAATCAGTTTTAATGGATGAAAAATCGGTTACGTGGTATAAATAAAAATGCCATGATAATCGAGTCTATAGACAATAACTTAGTCAATGAAAATCCATTATAATCGAGTATTACCCATGAAACTTTGGTGCGGGAGTGCGTCAACACCGTTTTGTTTTCTGTGAGATTGTCAAAGCTGAGTAAATGACTTAAAAAAGACTCGCTGGCCTACACGGCAGCTCTAGATAACAAAATTAGGTTTGAAATTATCAGTCTAAAGGGTTGCCTCAGACTGTGTAGCTCTAACATTTTACCATCGATGGAAACACTATGCTACATGCATCACTTGAATTGTCGCAAATTGTTTGTCAACCACGAAATTCTTAATGAAAAGTTCTTTCTACTTTGGTAGTTTGAACCCGCACTGAAGTTTCATGGATTATATTAGATTTGCATTGTCAATCTCTCTAAATTAATAAAAGTAATCGTTTATAATCGAATGAAATTATTATAAAGATAAAACTTTTTAAGCAAAAAAATCCCCATACAATCGATTATAATCAGTTAAAATCGATTTTTTTCTAACAATTTTATTTAAAAAAATAATCCATATTAATAGATTAAAATGAATTATAATCTTTTTATTTATATCTTTTTGTGTGTTGTTTTCATTTTTTCATCAATTTGTTAAACTTAAATTAGTTATTTTGTTCTCTCGCTTAATTTCAATTTTCTCTTTTCAATCGAGTTTATGAAAAAATACAAATAGTCACCTATATAGATTCCACATCAGCTCCCCGCGCTTACCCGTACTACAGTACTACAGCTAGATGTCTCCTAACTAGAGACGGGGGTGGGGGGTGTACGTCGTGGTTGGGGGGACGTTGGGGGGACGGGGGTATGTGAGGGGCTACGTCGTGGGTTGGGGGGGATACGTTGGGGGGAGGGGAGTACGTTGGGAGGTACGCTGGGGTGGAACGTTAGGGAGGAGGGGCACTTTTTGGAAAACTACTACATATTGACATATAGTTTTCGTTCGAGTTTTGCAGAAAGTTGCAAAAGTTAGAGTCATTATTTACAAAGTTGTGTACAAAAATTAATCCATTGTATTGAAAAACAAAAATGGATTATAATCGATTATAATGGATTAAAAATCGATTACGTGGTCTAAATAAATTTGCCATGATAATCGATTATATAGACATCATTTTAGTCAATGAAAATCCATTATAATCGATGATTACCCAATAAACTTCGGTGCGGGAAGGCGTCAACGCCGTTTTGTTTTCTGTAAAATTGTCAAACCTGAGTAAATGACTTCAAAAAGACTCGCTGGCTCACACGGCAGCTCCAGATAACTCGCGTTATATTTGGCTTCCTACCCATTCAATAACCTGGACACAAAAGAAATTTGCACCAGCATTTTTGTTTCAACTCCCTCCTGAGTCAAGTGTTTGCCATTGCCCCACTTGACATCGTTGGTATGATAATGGTACAGCTTAGTGACTTCTCCAAACCGTTTCAGTTTTTATAGAAGTCGATTTTCCAGTTCATTTTTCTAATTATCAATAAAAAGTTTTGTAGCTTTTTGGCACTCCCAAAACTCATTCAGTAGTTTTTGAGCGTCAAACAGAAAAATTTCAGATAGCCTATTAATTTCCAATTTTTTTAAAGTTATTGCTCAGAAACTCGAAGAATGTGCAGAAGATTTATGCCTGGGGTGGTTTGTTTACTCAATCAATTTTCGACTTCCTAGTTACCCAGTTGACAGATTCTCAATACCATCTGAGCCGTGTTGTTGTCCTGAGCTCAAATTTAAAAATACTTTTACCTGTAAAAATAGTTTGTAAAAATATGGGGGTTTGAAAGTTGTTGATTTGACCAATTTGAGACACATAACGCGCGATATATTGTGTTCATATAGCACACGTAACGGCAGATTAATGCGGTTATTTTTAAGGAGATTAAAACGGATTTAAATCGATTTGAATCGATTTTTTTCATTCGAGATTTATCAGTTTTGAATTTTTATTGCATTTATTCTTTGTTTATCACTTTTCATTTTACATCCATATCGTATTGTAGCATAAAAAAGACCAAATAAAAATACCAAAATATCGATAAAATTCTATGATTTTCTTGTGTATTCTGTGCTCAAAAACTGATCTATTTTGATACTTTTCTTGATTCGTTTTAATATGTTTTGCCCAAAATCTGATTTATCTTCAGAAATTTCTTCGATTTAATTGCATATTAATGAGATCAAATTTTAATTCTTTCTGACCCTTTTCTTGTTTGTTATATAGGATTTTGCAAAATTTGATTTACAATAGTTTTCTATAATTTCATTGCCTATTTTCGAGCTTAAAATCTGATTTAATTGGATCGTTTTATTTAATTTTATAACATCTGGCACGTGTGTGTTTTTAAAAAATCGAGAAAAAAAATTCATACCATTTTTTAAAGGGTGTGTTCTTTTCGCCGTGTTAGCAAAAAAAATTGAATTTTGTTAGTCTGAAAATCAATCGAAATCGATTTAAATCAATTTTTTAGACACTCAAATCGATTCAAAGTTTTGAAAAAAGATCGATTTAAATCGATTTGAAATGGATTTAAGTGAGATTCGGATGGATTTTAGTGAGTCGGAAAATCCATCTAAATCGATTTAAATCGATTTTTTTTACACTTGAATCGATTTAAAATTTTCAAAAATATCGATTTAAATCAATTTAAAATCCATTCTTGTTCTTAAAATGTACATTGTTAATCGATTTGGATCGATTTAAAATCAATTTAAATCGATCCGAAACCATTTTTGTCAGTGCGGGAAGGGTTTTCGTTCTCGCAGATTTCTGTTCGGATGATGTTTCTGTCAGTTGACAATTCGTTGACGAAGTCCCACAAAATGGGCTGAAATGATTGCTAACATCATTTCTGATCAGTTCTGATTGAACAGTGACCACTTTCTGTTCATACCTGCGACAAGAATGCAGTAGGTATGCCGCATATCTGATTGAAATAAACTGTAAATTCTGCACGTTTTAGGCATTCATAGCTGGATCATAGTTGCCTGATGAATGGCCATGGTTCAAAAAGACATGCTGTTTAACATGTACAACGTATTTCAGCCAAAACATTTTTCAGTGGCCATGTCTGCAAACTAATTTAACCTCAAACACGGGTTAGGTTCTGGACACTTGGTTTGGTGTTATTTATAAACAACGATTTTTTTGTTTTAATCTTGCTATTGAGAAGGCTTTAGACTTTGTTCGCATGGTCGCGCTTTTTCTGATTTTGTTCTTCTGACTTTCTGATTTGGTTATAAAAGTTAACCGTATCAGTGCACGATTATTTGTTGTTGATTGAAGATAATAAGCATTAACTAAAATTTAACCAGAAGTTTAAAACATACAGAAACAAAAACAAAAAAAACAAAAACGTACAATTGTGAAGTTCTTGCTGTGGCGTAAGAATGGTATGGTCAGATTTGGAGTTAATATATGACATCTTTGCACAAAGTGTTTTATTGTATTTTCTAAACTGTTGCTTTTATGCTGAAAATAAATCAAAATAACGACTTCTATTTATTCTCTCCAAGAGTTGCTGCAGCTTATAGAAACAAATTTGATAATTGAAAACAAAGTTATTCTAAAGATCCAAGTTGCATACTGAACAGCTATCTGAAACGAATTCGAAATACATATCTCTGTTAACAATTCTCCTCATGAGCGACAACACAAAACTCCTCATGAGTATTGTCAAGTATGCTGGCTCCGCAATCGCACAGAATGCTGGAAGAATACGTGATATCGACAAGTGGGATCCAACAGATAACGAGAGGAAGTGGCTTCTAATATCAGGCGCAAGTGAGCCCCCTAATTATATCCAGCTGTCCGAAATGGGGGAACGTGAGACGAGGGGAGAAAGGCGGGACTTATTTCTGAAAGGTCAAAGTGTGGATTTTGTGAACATGGAGAGGGCTCTTGGCCATCAACTGCACAACAGAATTCAGAATTTGAAAATGAAAAAAGCAGATGTGAAGTCGAACATTCAAGATTTTTTCAAGTTTTGCAAAGACAAGAACTACAAGCCAATGCTTTATTACACTGGCCATGGGGAGTTGCCAACTGGAAACTGGTGTCTGGCAGATGGTACAATTAGAATAGAAGAGATCTTCGATTGGATCCCAAGTGGCATGGAACCCCCAACTATCTGTACAGACTCATGTTTTGGAGGAGTATGGGCAGATTACTGCATTCAAAAAAATATCTCAGGATTTCACTGCCTCTCCGCGACGGCGGCTAACCAGGCTGCTTATGATCATACTGGTAAATTACTCTCGACAGTTGGAACTTAAATGCTGCCGTCCAATTGTGAAATCAAACACAGCTTATTGTTAAAGCGAATACCTAATTTTAACTATAACGATTGAAAGCGATCTTACGTTAGGAAACAAAAGTTATTCTCAATTTCAATTCAAATTCAGTGCACCTGTTCCTCTAACAAATTTCGAAACAAACTTGTTCGGATGTCTAGACTGAACAACCTCTAAAGAGGTCTTTTGTCATTAAACAGTTTTTCATCCGTATGACTACCAATGTGTTTGACCTATTTTTGCCCAGGAATAATTAAAACATTCAGTTTTGGCATTCTGTCAAAATAGTTAACGTCGTTGCGAGTCCCTTGTTTGCCTGTGCTAAAAGACCCGCAAAACATGTTCTTTTTTGGTCAAGGTCAAAACCATGCTGGTCACTTACTCATTATGAAGCCGTCAGCTGCATTAAATTTGTATGAAAAAACATGCACTTCTAAGGCTAATCAAATTAATTGAGTTTAGATGGAGGAGGTGAACTGACACACTACATGACAGGCAGTGAGAGCAAACTTGAACATGGTCGACCCTCCACTGAGCCACTGTTCAGCAGAGGAACCTTATTTGATTTCAGAACACTTGTAAAATACACTAAAACTAATTACGCAGACTTCATCAGATTTTATACGTACAATAATCAACAGACTTTGATATCACAAAGTGTACATGACAACTACATAGACGCTATATTTGATAATCACAAAAAGTTCAACACAAGGAAGAAGCAGTTTTGGGTCAGCTCCTCATTCAAAGAAGTGAAAGAACAAGTTAAAAGTCACACCAAGGCAGGCATGAATATTTTCTCACTCGCAGCTGACCAAAACACGGGAAAGTTTTATGTATTTATGATAGACGATTTTGGCAAAGCACAGTCCATTATACAAAACGAAGACCCCGAAGATCTATTTTTGCTTGGTCTGTCAGTGACAAGTGTTACCTGCTTCAATAAAAAATACTTTTTCGTAATGACTGCCGGTGTGAGCCAATTTGAAAATCATGAACAAGTGATATTCACAAAGAGCAACAGGTCGGATCTAGATATTGAAATTAAAAAGCAGAGGTCAGAAGGAAAAGTGATTACCTCTTTTTGTATCAATCACGAGTTGAGAGAGTACCTTGTAGTGATGACTGAGATGGAAGGGTGCGAACAGGCCAGCGGATGGTTCCAAAAGAGAACTGCAGACGGATACAGGGAGAGAGTTAAATGGTTAGAGATCTATTTGAGAAGAAGACTAGTGGACACAATAGTGTGTGGGGATTCGTCAGATAATCAAACATTCTACGTAATGACTTCGGATGAGGATAGAAATGGAGTCAAACTCATAAATACAACCCTCTTTAGCTGAGTGCTAAATCAGTATGACCTTATTCTGTCCTAAAACTATCTGATTCAATATCTTTTTTATCTGTATCTTAACCTGAAGCTATATATTACCAACTGTCTGTTTCAAACTGTTTAATTTCACCTCTTGCGCAGCACTTCATAGTGAAATGAACTGTTAAATCAGTTTACATTTGGTTTCTCCGCTTGTGAAAAAATAGTGATTTGATTGATGTTTTTGATTTATCAGCTGACAAATGTGTACGAAGATTGAAATCAATAATTAAAAGCTTTCTGCTGATCAAATTCATTTTTTACCTATCAGAACGTTTATTAAAATTCTGATAATCAAATTGTAGTATAAATTCAACGCTCTCTACAATGTTCGAATAATTGATAAATTTGAAATCATGAACATAATGTTATTGTGATTGTATTCAATTTTTAGTTTAGAAACATTTTTGATGATTTATTTCATAATAACAGTTTCGTTTACAAGATACTGCACATGATTGATATATAATCTCGTCTACGGGGTAATATTCTGATACCTCTAGGGTACTATCCACGACTAACCGTCTGGTTTTCTATCTCAAATTTTAACAGTCTTTTCAATATCTCCACTCGATCATCAAAAAAAACCGGAAGATTTTCTATTTTTTTGCTCCTTTTCCAGGCGCATATTTTCGAACTAAATCATAGTACTATATTATGGTGCATCTTTTGGAAGCTATGAGCAAACATTTTCAATGATGAGTTTAGCATCAGCGCCTACTCTACGCGAGTAAACTGCTAAACCCGGATTTAAGTTAAAGGCAAGGGGGGGTATTTCTTTCAGTAATTTTTAGAGAGCTAATTTTTTAGGCGACCTATTTTAAAACTTTTTGAAACTTTAACCCCTTCGAGAGAAGTCCAGGACTCGCACATGTTTGTCAGTAATCAGTCAGATTTTAACTCTCACTAAGATCTCACATCACAGCAGCATTACCCGCTCTGATTGCCAATTGTATTGTCAAAGTAGGTTATCTATAGTTTTTTAAGGGAGCCAGTTTTGGAAAATTGGTTTCAATGACCCAAAATATTGTCATTTCGAGGCCAAACTTTGCAATTTGTGAATCGTAAGCGGATTCCGCAACAAGCAAAAACAAGATTTGTCGCGGAATCCGCAACATTGATTCTTATTTTATTTACTAGTATATGTGTTTAGTAAACTTAAGCTGTCGTGGTATTGTAAACGGAATCCACAAATTGTAAGCGGAATCCGCAAATCGTAAGTAGAGTCCGCATAAACTTGCTGAATATTTTCACATTTGCAGAACCCGCTTACATTTGATGAGCTCCAAACAACTACCTATAATTGCTCGTTGAGGATTCCGCAACAACAAATGTGCCAAAAAAATTACGTTACAGTTATTTGTACGTGGATTCCGCGGACATTTGCTAAGTGGAATCCAAATTTATTTTGAATCATAATGATAGACTTGTCTCTGGAATCAAGGAACATACATTCAAAAAATTGTGTGCCTATCCAGGGCACAGTTTGGCCGCGTAATAATTGGGAAGAAATGCCATTTTTTTCTCCAAAGACCCCGGCTCCAGCGATGTGTCGACCAAAATGATTTTCCTGGGCACGCCTGTTAAAACGTCATTTAGGGTTCCCAAACTCGTCACTCCTCGTTTTTAACTCCTTTTTTAACCCCTCTCATATAACCCCATAATTAGATAACCCCACCACAATTTAACCCTTTTTTAATACCAACTGTTAGAATCAAAGTGAAACTTACTTGAAAGGTATTCGGAACAACAGCATCGGTAAACATCAAAACTTTAATTGCAAAAAATTTTGCGAAGCCAAAGGAAATGAGATTCAAGCTGCCAAATGCGGTTTAGATTTGATCAGAAAAACCTTGCCGATAGTCTAGACTTTGATATTACTTTGAAAACTAATCCGACCGGCAGGACCCAAACCATTAAGCAAAAATGATTAGAGTTCTCCAAAATTGAACTTGAAGCGTTCAACTGGAAATTAAACGAATTGAAACTAAAACGACTTTATGAAACTAATCACGAACTCAATTTGTCGTAGCGCCCAACTCCAGCTATTAGGTTTGTACCAATTGAAATGGTCACTGCTGCTTTGGACTTGGTTATTGAGAAGATCGAAAAGATATCTGCCAAGTTTGATCTCGACGACAACATCAATGACCAACTTGATGAGGTAGCCTCATACTTCCAACGCACTTGGATCAAATGCGGGATCATCCGAAGGAAATTCAGGAACCCTCTTTTTCGGGAAACTCTTGGAATCATTCCGAAGAAGCAGCTGCTGGATAGATAAGGACAATAAATGCCGTTATGATCATACTGGTAAATTAATCTCGACAGTTGAAACTTAAATGCTGCCGTCCAATTGTGAAATCAAACACAGCTTATTGTTAAAGCGAATACCTAATTTCAACTATAACGAATGAAAGCAATCTTACGTTAGGAAACAAAAATTATTCTCAATTTCAATTCAAAATCAGTGCACCTGTTCCTGTAACAAATTTCGAAAAAAAACTTGTTCGGATGAAGTTTCTAGATTGAGCAACCTCTAAAGAAGTCTTTTGTCATTAAACAGTTTTTCATCCGTATGACTACAAATGTGTTTGACCTATTTTTGCCTAGGAATAATTAAAACATTCAGTTTTGGTATTCTGTCAAAATAGTTAACGTCGTTGCGAGTCCCTTGTTTGCGTGTGCTAAAAGACAGCCGCAAAACATGTTCTTTTTTGGTCAAGGTCAAATTTATGCTGGTCACTTACTCATTATGAAGCCGTCAGCTGCATTAAACTTATATGAAAAAACATGCAGTTCTAAGGCTAATCAATTAAATTGAGTATAGATGGAGTAGGTGAACTGACACACTACATGACATGCAATGAGAGCAAACTTGAACATGGTCGACCCTCCACTGAGCCATTGTTCAGCAGAGGAACCTTATTTGATTTCAGAACACTTGTAAAATACACTAAAACTACTTACGTAGACTTCATCAGATTTTTTACTTACAATAATCAACAGACTTTGATATCACAAAGTGTACATGACAACTACATAGACGCTATATTTGATAATCACAAAAAGTGCAACACAAGGAAGAAGCAGTTTTGGGTCAGCTCCTCGTTCAAAGAAGTGAAAGAATAAGTTAAAAGTCACACCAGGGCGGGCATGAATATTTTCTCACTCGCAGCTGACCAAAAAACGGGAAAATTTTATGTATTTATGATAGACGATTTTGGCAAAGCACAGTCCATTATACAAAACGAAGACCCCGAAGATCTATTTTTGCTTGGTCTGTCAGTGACAAGTGTTACCTGCTTCAATAAAAAATACTTTTTCGTAATGACTGCCGGTGTGAGCCAATTTGAAAATCATGAACAAGTGATATTCACAAAGAGCAACAGGTCGGATCTAGATATTGAAATTAAAAAGCAGAGGTCAGAAGGAAAAGTGATTACCTCTTTTTGTATCAATCACGAGTTGAGAGAGTACCTTGTAGTGATGACTGAGATGGAAGGGTGCGAACAGGCCAGCGGATGGTTCCAAAAGAGAACTGCAGACGGATACAGGGAGAGAGTTAAATGGTTAGAGATCTATTTGAGAAGAAGACTAGTGGACACAATAGTGTGTGAGGATTCGTCAGATAATCAAACATTCTACGTAATGACTTCGGATGAGGATAGAAATGGAGTCAAACTCGTAAATACAACCCTCTTTAGCTGAGTGCTAAATCAGTATGACCTTATTCTGTCCTAAAACTATCTGATTCAATATCTTTTTTTATCTGTATCTTAACCTGAAGCTATATATTACCAACTGTCTGTTTCAAACTGTTTAATTTCACCTCTTGCGCAGCACTTCATAGTGAAATGAACTGTTAAATCAGTTTACATTTGGTTTCTCCGCTTGTGAAAAAATAGTGATTTGATTGATGTTTTTGATTTATCAGCTGACAAATGTGTACGAAGATTGAAATCAATAATTAAAAGCTTTCTGCTGATCAAATTCATTTTTTACCTATCAGAACGTTTATTAAAATTCTGATAATCAAATTGTAGTATAAATTCAACGCTCTCTACAATGTTCGAATAATTGATAAATTTGAAATCATGAACATAATGTTATTGTGATTGTATTCAATTTTTAGTTTAGAAACATTATTAATGATTTATTTCATGATAACAGTTTCATTTACAAGATACTGCACATGTTTGATATATTATCTTGTCTACGGGGTAATGTTCTGATACTTCTAGGGTACTATCCACGACTAACTGTCTGGTTTTCTATCTCAAATTTTAACAGTCTTTTCAACATCTCCACTCGATCATCAAAAAAAGAAAACCGGAAGATTTTCTATTTTTTTGCTCCTTTTCCAGGCGCATATTTTCGAACTAAATCATAGTACTATATTATGGTGCATCTTTTGGAAGCTATGAATAAACATTTTCAATGGTGAGTTTAGCACCAGCGCCTACTCTACGCGAGTAAACTGCTAAACCCGGATTTAAGTTAAAGGGAAGGGGGTCTTTCTTTCAGTAATTTTTAGAGAGATAATTTTTTAGGCGACCTATTTTAAAAATTTTTGAAACTTTAACCCCTTCCAGAGAATTCCAGGACTCGCACATGTTTGTTAGTAATCAGTCAGATTTTAACTCTCACTAAGATCTCACATCACAGCAGCATTACCCGCTCTGATTGCCAATTGTATTGTCAAAGTAGGTTATCTATAGTTTTTTAAGGGAGCCAGTTTTGGAAAATTGGTTTCATTGACCCAAAATATTTTAATTTCGAGGCCAAACTTTGCAATTTGTGAATCGTAAGCGGATTCCGCAACAAGCAAAAACAAGATTTGTCGCGGAATCCGCTACATTGATTCTTATTTTATTTATTAGTATATGTGTTTAGTAAACTTAAGCTGTCGTGGTATTGTAAGCGGAATCCACAAAATGTAAGCGGAATCCGCAAACCGTAAGTAGAGTCCGCATAAACTTACTGAATATTTTTACATTTGCAGAACCCGTTTACATTTGCTGAGCTCCAAACAACTACCTATAATTGCTCGTTGAGGATTCCGCAACAACAAATGTGCCGAAAAAATTACGTTACAGTTATTTGTACGTGGATTCCACGGACATTTGGTAAGTGGAATCCAATTTTATTTTGAATCATAAATGTAGACTTGTCTCTGGAATCCAGGAAC